CAAAAGATCTCCCAACTGTACTTGAATACTTTAAGATGTCACATGTTTTAAAACCATACAATCTAATAATGATCAATAGAATCAAAGAGTACCAAAGCTGTAAAAAAAACAACAACAACAAAAAAACTACAAATCCAAAGACATATTTGTAATTCAGAGAGAGAGAGAGAGAGAGAGAGAGAGTCCTTCTGCACAACTATGTCCGGTACCTAAATATTGCATATTGACATAGTTGTGCAATCAAGACATTGTGCAGGAGTTCGTCTGCATGCTTGTGACCGGATCAGTCTGTAAGTTATCGTCTCCAGACACTACATACATCTTCTGATTATATCTCCCTGTCTCTGTCTGATCCAGGTTTGACGAGTCTCTGTGGCACAGTGTGGACCTGGAGGGTCTCACCCACATGGGGGTAGCTCTGCAGCAGGTGCTGAACATCGGCGTGTGCAGGCTGCGCTGCCCTCGCTCCTTTGTGGAGGAGACAAACTTCACCGTCACCGGGTAAGTCCAGCCGATCAGTCTATTATCTGATCTGTTATCTGATGTATCTGCTGTATAAAGAATTGAAACAGGATTTCACAGTTTGTATTTTCTGTCTTCAAGCGCTCTGCAGATCGTTGAGTTGGATCTGTCCAGCTCCATCATCCCCACCTCTGCTCTGGAGAGCATCATCAGCCGCTGCACACAGCTGGAGTATCTGAGCCTGGAGGGTCTGCAGCTCTCTGACGCCATCATCAGGTACCACTTCATCTCTTACCACGCTACCACCACGACAGGAAAATGTTTGAACCAGAGGTGTTAAACATGTTGCTGCTTCTTCACTCTTCAACCCTTTCTGGTGAAAATCAAACATCAGTAAAATGTTTTATGCAAAGGGTAACAAACAGACAAAAACATGATCATGGTGTTTTCTGTTTGTGTCCGTGTGTGTGAGTTTCTGATCCTGTTGTAGATGTTTGATGTTTTTAATCTTCCGTCTCTTGTCAGCTCTCTGTCCAAGAACACAAACCTGCTGCAGCTGAATCTGAGCGGCTGCTCCGGCTTCTCCGCTCCTCCTCTGGCCGACATGTTGAAATCCTGCAGCAGGTTAGAAATGATTCATCTTAAAGAACAGCGGCTGCTTTCATTGATCCTCTGTTTGTCTCTAAAGCCTTCTCTTCCATGTGCAGAATCGAGCGGCTGAACATCTCGTGGTGCGACTTCAGCAACGATCATGTGAAGAGCGTCGTGGAGAATCTGAGCTCTGCTGTCACTCAGCTCAACGTCAGCGGCTACAGAGAGAGCTTCACGCTGGACGGTGAGTGACGGATGTTTTCTAATGTGGAGAGGAGTTGAACATGAGTCGAGAATGATCAGATTCTTATGTAAATACTTTGATTTTGAATCCTCTAGACTCCTGTCTGATTTTAAAAAGTTGCTGTAGCTCACTGGAAACCTTCACTGAGAGGAGCAACTAATGATTCTATCTTGTAAAAATAAAGAAATGAGCTATAAGAAGTAGATTTCATCATGATGTTCACATGGAATTTGAGACTAAAAAGTGTATTTTGAACTAAAGGTTATATATATATATATATATTGAAAAAGAATTGCACAGAATCTATAAAATACTTGACGTATTTATACAGAAAACGACTGAAACCACTGAGATTATCAAAGTAGTTATTGATTTTGATTTCTCTGATCGATGAATCATTGACCTGAGGTGACTGTTCTCTGTGTGTGTGTGTTTTTTAACAGATGTGACGGTGCTGGTGACGAGATGCCCCCACATTACGACCCTCGATTTAAGGTACAATGTTTCCTCCTTCAGGTCTCATGAACATGTTTGGATGAGGGGGGAGAACAGGGAGGGCTGCTCTCCAGAGCTGGGAGAAGAGAGCCTGTGTGAAGAGGTTTCACCGGCTCACGTAGAGACCTGAAGCCGTCTGGTGAAATTCTTGGTTTCATATTGGAGAACTATCTCGGGATTTGCAGAACAAGCCGCTTAGCGCCCTAAAAGTCCTTCCTAGGTCTCTGAGAGGATTCTCAGAATGTTTGTGAATATGTTTTGTTTTCTGGTGAATGTGCTGCCCCCTGCTGGTGTCCATGAATAAATCATCCGCCTGGTTGTTTTGTCACAGTGACAGCACTCTGCTGATGGCCGACAGCTTCCCCATCCTCAAACAGCTGAAGAACCTGCGCCACCTTTCTCTGAGCCGCTGCTACCACATCCACCTGGCCGCTCTCACGTGAGTTTAACAGATTATAACATCCATAAATATCCACTGAAGATGTCAATCATAGGATCAATATTGGAGATGCTTTTGAAAAATGGAGAGAGGTTAGAACACAGAAAGGTTTACAGACCGGTGCAGAGCTGGATAAACACTGAAGCTTCAGTGTCCACCACATGGTGACCTGTGAGCATAGACTCTAGAGAGGAGGGGGCGGGGGGGAGACAGCTCTCTACAATGTTTAGAATTTAGACTGCAGTACCCATTTTAAACACTAGGTCAGGGTTACATACTGGTCCTTTAATGTTGAGATAAATATTCAGATAGTTTTTTTTATTTTGTATGTTTGCAGTGACCTCGAGCAGATGTTCCCCCTGCTGAGTCTTCTGGAGGTTTTCGGCCTCCTACACGACTCCCAGCTCTCCTCTCTGAAGAAGGAGCTGCCTCGCATCAGCGTCAACACCCGCCCATTCTCTAGCATCGCCAGGCCCACGCCCGCCTGCAGACCCCAGGGCCCCGTCAGGGACCGCGCCATGTGGAGCAGAACGTGTCGTCTGAGGGTCAAGCTGTAAACCCACAGGAGCCGAGTTTCAGTGTTTGTTGCTGCTACAGATGTGTCTTTACATGTTGGTGGGCGTTAAGGTTACTAAAGGTCAAGTCCTGCCTGCTTTTAGGGAAATGTTGAATTTAGGGAATCATCCAGATTTGGATGTTGAATCCAGTTTTTCTTGAATGTGTTGATATGAACCTTTTAGCTATGTTTTTGAATCTGTTTCAGGTTCTAATAATGTGTTAATTTAAAATATTTTGTGATGGAAACAAGGTTTCTTTTTTTAAAGGGCTCAATTGAATGTTGACGTCTATCGGATGTCTGTAAATATTTAGCACAGCTGATCTCTCCGACATTTTAAAAGATACTCGTGTTCTCAGATGTAACAATGAGAGAAGAGTCGATTTTAATCAGTGAGAAAGTTTTAATGTAAAACAATCGATGCAGCCAGAAGAGCTGTGAATGATCCTTGAAACCACTTTGTTACTTTAAACACACATTACGTTTACATTTAACCCGACCGGGTTATCATTCATGTACATGTGACTCTTCTGTCACTCTAATGATGACTTCTGTGTGTCGCTATTCATGAATCAATGTGCTGTACGCTCGGTGCTCTCTTCCATTTCATTCCAAATTACTGAAATTCAGTGTTTTAACTTGTGAATTGTTCATTTTTCAGTAAACCACGGAGTAAAAAAAATCTGTTTTTGTCTGAGCTTGTTTTTCATCACATGCATTAGTCCTGTTTTATTTAAAGGTCACATGTTCTCCTCTTCAATAAGTCTCAGAGCTCCTCAAAACATGTATGTGAAGTGTCTTGTTCTAAATCCACTCTGATCCTGTATTTGATCATGTCTATAAACCCCTCTATTTCAGCCCTGCTCAGAACAGGCTGTTTCTGTGTCTGTACCTTTAAATATGTAAATGAGCGGTATCTGACCACGCCCTCTCTGGAAGGATTTGGGTGCCTTGGGCTTTCTCGCTCCATGTCCTATTGTTTACGGTGAGAAGGCAGACTCAGCAGAACAAACACCTAGCTGTGGGAGTGTCACCCACCTGGGGGAGGGGTTACTGCCCTTTGTGATGTCATGAAGGGAAAATCTCCAAACGTCCTGTTTGAGCACACATTTTCTGAAAAGTGGAACAGGCAAAAGATGGAGAGGATGGACTTTTCTCATCATTGGGGGGGTTTGTAGACAGACTAGGGACACATGTTAGAGAAACATGGGGAAGAGGATTCTGCAGAATATGTGATAAGCATCTAGGCTCCGACCTCATCAGTCATCAAATTGCAGTTTTATTTTACATGCTGAAAGTCGAGGAGTGATGGTATGATGGATGGATGATATCTTAAACCCCTCCCAGTCAGAGCCTGCAGGTGGATGCTGGGATGGTGGTGTTTCCGAATAAGAGTGCAGAGCTGGCAATGACAGAGCAGAGAGGGAGCTGAAATCTTGCAGCTTAAATAGAGTGCTAATTGAAATGAGGTGTCGTCAGGTGATTGTGGATAAAGTGTGAAATCAGTGCAGCTCGAGTTGTCTGCCTGAACTTGCTCGTAGGTCTCTGTCAGGCTCAGGTTGTTATTCTATAATGTCTGATAACGTTATAGACAGAGCTCGACCTTATTTTTTTTCACCAGAGGAAGATGATTTATTTCAACCAGAACCTGCTGTAACATCGCTCTCTGCAGGGCCGACAAACTGCAGGTTTATCTGGCACAACCAGTGTGGCTAGTCATTCAGGCTCATAATCAGATAGGTGCTGTGGTATCTAAAGTGCATGAAAGGGTTGATTTGATTAGCTTACGAAAACAACATTGTGATGGATACTTCACCTCTTTAACAAAAGTTATTTTAATGAGAATGCCTCAAAGTTTAGAGTAAAAGTGACTCGACGGAGGACCGGACCAAAGGAACTTGTTAGGGGTCATTTTAACCCCTTAAATCTGACATACTGTATGTGAGTGAGTGTGATATATATTGCAAATACATTTTATTTTGAACTTGCATGTGTCTGAAATTCTTTCATTTCGCATTTCAATAATAAATTTGCTTTTAAGCTGGAAGTACTTTACTTTCTGTGTGCTTTTATTTTTTAAATAAAGTAAGGCCCTTCTGGTAGATGGAAGGGTTAGGACATGAAGTTAAGCATAGAAACAGGAAGTGGACATCAGTGATGAATCTGTCGAGGAAAGAGAGGCGGAGGCGAGCAAAAATAAGCACACAGAAGGATTTTTTTTTTCAAACAACTTTTATCTGATTCAAAAACTGACACAGGATGTTCATGAGGATCGTTCTTTTGGCACGCTTCGATGTACAGTTTCCTGATTTATAAACTCATCCTCATTAAGAGAAACCCTCGTCATTCAGAGTCCAGGGCAGGGAGGTGTGCCAACAATATGTAATGTCGTGTGTGTGTGTACAAGAAGATTAATTGATTTTGTTTAAAATCGATCTGACTGCACCACTGTGTCGTCACACTCCTCGTCATCACAGCACATTTAGTGTCGAGCAAAAATCACTGAAATCCCTTTCTGTAGAAACCTTCAGCCACTCGCTGATCTTAAAACATCGTCTCCTCCTGTCCTGTGAGAGGTTACAGACGTGTGACCTTAAATCATGGAGCAAAATGACGTCCTGCTGTTAGTGCACTCTGTTTCCTCCTCTCAGACTCCAGTGTTTCAAACTTCTACAAAAAATATACACGCTTTGTTTTCAAAAATATCTTCAGCCGCTGTGCATTCAGTTCACTGTACAAAAACACTTTCATATCCCTCCAGCACTAAATATATTTCTGTTCAGTTTGCATCACAGCTGGATGTTTCTTCTCCCTCCACGTTATAGATCATCTCAGTAAACACGCTTGAGTTTGTTTGGACTCGATCAAAAACACAACATCCTGCTGCAACAAACAATGACTAGAGCAGCAAATCGGGATTCATCCACCGCTGAAAATAGTCCCTCAGAAATGCATCTTTATAATGTTTTTTTTACAATTTATTTTGCGGGTTTTGTGCCAAAGGGGTTTAAGCTAGAGCTGGAAATCCGCTTCGATGGCTAAAGCCTCTGTACATGGGGGCATGCAAATTAACCCCTAGGCCATTGGCGCCCCTGTACATTGTGTCTTAAAGATGACATTTGTTTGAGCTCTTAGCTGATTCACCAGCAAACATGAAGCATAATTATGTCTAACTGGGTTTTAGTGTCATAAAGTCATCGCTCCGATCTCAATGAACTGATCTGAAATAATCATACATTTTAAACACTTTTGAACAGAGCTGGCTAAACACTGAAGCTTCAGTGTCCACCACATGGCAACTTGCGTGAGCATCGACTCTAGAGAGGAGGAGGCGGGGGGAGACAGCTCTCTACAATGTTTTAGATTCAGACTGCATTACCCTTTTTGAACACTAGGTGTCAGAGTTACATATCGCTCCTTTAATGCTGTGAGAGACAGTCAATCATAACAGACTTTAAATATGTTTGACAGTTTCTGGAAAAACTCATATCAGCCGTTATCACATGTTGGAAAGTTGTCAAGGGATTTTCAAACAAAAGAAAAAAATCAGTTTGAAAATAATAAGTTGAGGAAAAAGAACACGCTTCAAAAAACAAAAGTAACAATGATACCTTTCTGCTGCTCAGGTATAAAAAACACCTTTAGGAAGCTAAAATCTAAAAGCTGTACTTCCCTTTGAACTCAGTTTGAAATTAGCGAGTGCTTAGTTTTCTAGAAGAACCGTCCGGAGCTGATCCTCCTCGCTCATGCTGATTGTAGCGAAGGCGCCGTCGTTGAACTCGAAAGAAGTCCCGCCGTCGACCACCATGCAGGCGTCCCAGCACCGCGAGCGAACACACACCCTGAAGACACAAACGCATAAAAACAATCAGAAAGGTTCAGCGCTTCTTCTCGGCTCATGCTCATCGTGTCGTCGCTCACCTGCTGGCGAAGCCTCTCTGGCGGCTGCTGGAGAAGACGCGGTTGACGATCGGCTCCCTGACGCTGTACAATAAACGTTGGTCGTGCGGACTGAACACCAGGGACTCGTTGTATTCATCAGTAACTAAAGAAACAGAAATACAATCGTCATTGTATCGTCAAATTGACTAACAAGTCAAATGCAGGAGGAGTGCCGACTCACCCTTTCCAATGAAGTCCCGATTAAGGGGGATATCTAGACCGGTCTGGGATTTCCCTGGAAAAGAAAAACAAAGGTGTTTTTTTTTTCTGTAAGGTTCAAACTGAAGCCTTTTACTTAAGTTTCAAACACACTCACCAATCTTCAGCACCTCCTCCACAGCTTGTTCGGCGAGTTTGTTGATGTTATACGACCTGCGGACACGAAGAAAGAGAGAAACCACTTCAGAGAGATGGAAGGGTTAAAGAAGGGATCTCACATCTCTTTTAAAGAATTATTTTTGGTCGTTTTGTGCCTTTATTGTAGAGATAGCACAGTGAATAGGGTTGGATTCAAAACTTGGGCCGCCCGCTTGGAGGACTACAGCCTCCATACATGGCACACTAACCACTGCCCACCAGCGCCCCAAGTTCTTGCATTTTAATTATTATTCTAGTTATTATAGAACAACAATCGAGTCCTGAACAAGCGGCAACCTCTGGTCTTGAAAAATGAAGCCAATGTGGAAGTGCAAAATCCTGCAGTTTTTTGAGTGTCCACTAGAGGCTGGCTGCAGGAACACCGGAAGTCACATACACACCACAGGCAAACAAGGCTGTTTTTACAGCATAAAAAAAGATGTTTACAGCCTGGTACAAAAAACAAAACAGATCTGATTAATTATTGTCGTCACTGGTACACACTGGACAGGGGGTGACTTTTTTTAAACGGCTCCGTATTGATTTTTATAACGACATACGTTATCCATAGCGTAGGAGCCATGTTTAGGAGTATTAAGTGTAAGACACAAATCGTTCCAGCAGGTGTCACCTCTGGGTTAAGGTGATACTCTTTATAGGTAGGAAGTTTCACTGGGGTGTGAGAGCACGTACACTTTTTTGGCCGCTACGCCAGGCTATGAGGTTTTGAAGCTTTGAATGGAAAGAAGATCACAATGGAATGAGAAATAAATATTCCATAAACAAAGAAGATATTGGACTGTCTTTTTTCACAATCTTATGCTCAGCAGGGAAGCCGGCAAGCAGGTCAATTAAGAGGCTAAATCAGCCTGTCTATGTAGCGCCTCAGTCGCTCTAAGTTTCGGCTTAGCTACACATAGATAGGCGTGTAGCTGACATGATTGACAGGTGAGCGCGGTGTAACGGTTTGTCAGGAGGCTTAAAATCCGCCTCAGCTCCAGCTCTCAGCCTGTCGTTAGGTTGACTGAAAGTTAGACTGAGACAGGATATCCAACATGGCGGCTGCTGCTGATGAGCCTCCAGAGCCCCCTGCAGGAACAGATGGCTGACATCACTCAGGCTTCATCCATAATATTACAGTCTATGGTGAGCCATGAGCCACTCGATCCAGAAGGGACCTGGCTGACTCGCGTCGCCCTGGTTTGCAAATCGACATAAACGAACGATGAGCAGTCAGACCAGAATGCAATAAAACCGTTTGTTTTTTAAACCCTCTGAGAAAACGTCCAAGTGGAGTTCAAATCAAAATGTAAACGTTACAGGCGTATATAAAGATTATTTATTATCTCATTTAACTTTCCGAAGTTTTTTTTTTAACAGGTCTAAATGTGTTCCTTTATTGTAGATTTGAAGAATGAAATGATTGAAAACTAAAACACAATCTTTGTCCAGGACTCTTCAGCTCATGTTTCATGAGGATAAGTCGATGGTTAAATATTTAAGGTCACGCTGTAAGCCGTGTACAGTTCAGCCTACCAGGCTTTGGATCCTGTTCCCGTGCAGATGCTGAGTCCTGAGCTCTTCTGTTTCTCCCAGGGGCCGTCATCCACAGAGATCTCGTAGTAGGAAGCCCTGTGGAGGTGAACTCTGAGTTACAAGGGTTTTTAACTTCATTCTGTGCCGGACAGATTCGATACGAGCTCATGTAAACGTAATGAAGGTACCTGGAGGACAGAGATTCTCCGATGAAGATCTCATTCAGGCTCCGGATGGGGAGCAGACTCGGCTTGGAGAAGCTCTCCTGCACGTTTCTTTTCCCTGTAAGAAAAAGTCCCTGGATTAGTACCAGATTTAAAAAAAAAAAAACTCACAAGACGTATTTCAATCAAGTTCATGATCAATGGACAGCTATTCAGACAGGAGGACACAGACGGACAGACAGGAGGACTGGGACAGGTACACATGTTTGGGTTGAGGAGTCGTACTCCGCTGGCTGTCCTTGGTGGTGATGCGATGAGCCTGACTGTGCTGCTCCAGGCTCAGCTGCAACTCGTGCAGGTCCACCGGGATGGGGTTGATCCCCGTCCCCTCCAGGTGCAGACGGATCCTCTGACGCCACAGCCACCTGAACGCAGCGCAGGAGAAGTCGGGGGTTAAACCGAGCATCATACACTTTACGATCGGAAAAGTTCCAGGGGTGGTGCCTTCTCAAAGCACTTTTTCACCGCAGGTCAAACCTACACATTCACACCCTGATGGTAGAGGCTGCTGAGTAAAGAGACCATCAAAGTAAGTAACCATCATACACAGTCATACGCCCCTGACGAAGCAGTGGGAGAAACTTGGGGATAAGTGTCTTGCCCAAGGTCATTTGTCATCCACTGCCGTGCTCTACCGCTGAGACACAGTTCTCACACTGATCGTGGTCCCACTGTTCCAGTTCAATCTGGACGGATTATCAACAATTTTCAATAAAGTTTCATTTGAAAACTCCCACAGAGAGAAGCTGAAGTCATATCTATGTGCATTTAAGACGTCTCGCATGCACGACTCAAACACAAACATGAAACCTAAACTAAAAGCTGCAAGAGACCGAGAGAGAGGAGAGTTGTTTAGTTCTGATTTCCATTTATAGATTCCGTTGAATTAATGTATCATCTGGTGCTATAGATAGCTGACATAACTTGGCATGGTGAATGTAACCTGAGAGAGCTCGCCTGTACTGAGCAGCTCTCTACAATGTTTTGAATTCAGACTGCAGTGCCCACTTTAAACACTAGGGGTCAGAGTTACATATTGCTCCTTGAAGACATCAATATGGCTATTGACATTTTCAGGAGTTCTGTGTGTGTGAAAGGGGCGTTACTTTCCAGTTAAAACTGTCTGAGCAGCAGGAACAGAACAAATCTGAGGAACAGTAACCTGCAGCAGCAGAAGAATGATTCCTTCAGGACACCGGACCTGGATTTAAGTCATCTTAAGCCTGACAGGGAACACAGCAGAGGGTGTATCCGCCTTGTGATTTTAACTTGACCAAACAGGTTTGAACCTGTCTTGAACTGTAAGCTTCTAACGGAGCGACAGCCCAACATTGTTTTACAGACCGCAGTGAAACATTTCAGGAGGACTCCTCCCATTTCTCATTTTTGTGACAGTAGTGCGATAGGGAATAGGATAATATTAAACCAGAAGAAGTAAAAACAAAGCAGCACTCAGATTGTTTGTGGGTGAAATACGCACCTAAACTCACCACGGCAGAGTTTCTGCAGAGCCTCAGGGAAGGCTCGAGTGTACCGCACGGGCAGGCACAGGTGACCTTCTGACCTTAAAATGAAAGAGAGAAATGTTGTGAACTCAGCTGAACAAAGAGCGTCGAATATAAACAATGACATGAGACTATATTTTACAGGAACAATCTCAGGGTATTTTAAACCTTGGCGGACTTTTAAGGACAAAACGTTTTAGGAATTTCTCAAATGAATTGTTTGAGACAGCAGCCGTGAAACAGGCTGTAACGGCTGCAATATAATCCTTGGGGGTAAAAGCGTCCAATCAAAGTGTGTCCCTGACAGGCTCAGATTGGTATTTTAAGAAGTCTGACAACATTACAGAGAGGATCCCTACAGACATAGACCTGTTTATAAAAGAGGGAGATGATTTTTTGGGGCTTTTTACACATTTATTTAGAGATAGGACGGTGGATGGAGTCAGCAATCAGGGAGAGAGAGAGAGAGAGAGAGAGAGAGTGGGGAAAGACATGCGGGAAAGGAGCCACAGGTCAGATTCAAACCTAAGCCGTCCGCTTGGAGGATTACAGCCTCTGTACATGAGGCGCATGCACTAACCACTAGGCTGCCGGAGTAGCGGAGAGAATCACTCCCATGATTCCCCGCCAGCCTCAACTTCATCTTTTGTTATTGTTTTGATTGAGAGCCCCCTAGTGGTGGAATTTACATACTGTGCCTTTAAAAGGCCCTGACACACCAAGGAGACCGTCCTAGTTGGACCGTCGGTGAGCGGTAGTCGCCCCATTTTTTTGCGGTGTGTCCGACTCTATCGCAACCCGTCTGCCTTTTTTCAGTAGATTCAACATATTCAATCAGCGTTGGCGGTCGGTGAGAGGAGTCTCTGTGATTGGCTGTTTGGAGGTCTCTCAGGTTCAGGAAAGCCCCTTGAGCATGCCGCTGTAGTATCCATGCGTTCACCCATTAGTGTGGTTTCTCCTTATTTGTCTCCTTCGCCTCTTCTTTTCTTTTTCCACTAAAAGACCAAGAGCTGACAACGCCAGCGTCAGACATTATTCTCCATTAGTAAGCTACCTATAATACGAGTGGTGAGCGACAGCGGTGTGAAAATGGTCTTCTGGTATCATAACAACGGACTACCGCCACCTGCTGGCATGGAGAGTTATTTCCTCTCACACATGAGCAGAACATACGTAGTGGTTGGCCGTCGGCTGTAGTCTTTGAGGTGTGTTCAAGTGCAACTTTTGGCCAAGACAAAGGCGTTGTGAGGTGAAGCCACAGTTGGCCTTCGTCACCACTAGTTCTTTGCCATCTGCTTGGTATGACAGGGCCTTAAGGAGAGCGATGCAACAGCCTTTTTGGATCTAAATCAACATCTTCCTCTGTAACAAAAAGGTCTACATCTGTAGGGATCCTTTCTGTGATGATGTCACACACTTAGAATAAAAATCTGAGTCTGTAAGGGACAGGAACGACAACTTCTAGTGGACATACTTTGATTGGACACATTTCCCCCTGAGGCTAACGGTGCAGCCATCACAGCCTGTTTCTCTGCTGCAGGATTAAAAGATTCCATAACGTTTGTATCTGTAAGTCATGTGAAAACATGGCCCAGGTTTTCCATGAACTCTCCTTTAAGTTTTCCTTCTTTTAGCTCATCATCCTGAGGAGTTAGAGCTCTGATCATTCTTTAAACATTCACCCAAAAAATGCAGCTCAGGTTTTTTTTTGGTTTTTTTACCTCTCAGGGTCCGTGTTTACTCCAACAACCGGTTTGTCCTTGCTTAAAACCTTACTGGCAACAAGTAGCATTGTCCCGTCACCTAACAAAACAAACTGCAGTTAGAGAACTTGTATTGTGTGTTTTTTTTTTTTTGTTCCTTTGTTCATGTGACTTTTTGCCCCCTGGGGTTGAAGTTAAAAGTCCTGTGCATTCAGTGGGTCCTGCCTGGACACAAAGGTTTGTGTTTAAGGAAGATTTTTGTTTTGTTTTAGTCGAACAAAAAAGTTTTGTTTTTTTAAAAAGGACAATTTAAACATTTTGAGTTCCCTAGAACAAAGAGTGCTGAATGCAAATAATCTAAAAACTCCCACCTCCAGCAGAGATTATAGCATCTGCCCATCGCACGACTTCTTCATCATACTCTCCTCTCTTCACCACTCGCACCTCGATGCCTTCTTTCCTACAAACACAGAAATATGGACATTTCTTTACAAACAATCAACAGCAGGACCAAAACTTTGTGTCTCTGCTTCAGTAGAGTTTTCAGGAGTTTGTAATCGACCTTTTGACTTCTGTAAATCTGTGCTTTCTGACCCACATTGGCTGAGATGAATTATGGATCGCTTTGCATCATTGTGCATCAACATCTCGATCAAGGTCAATTTGATTTTAGGGTGCACAGTTATTTACAACTTCATCGTTATTGTAAGAAGAGTGTCTTAAGCTGAGAGTACTTTACTTGCTGTGTGCTTTTATTTTGAAAGAAAGTAAGGACCTTCTGGTAGATGAAAGGTTAGGACATGAAGTTATAAGCACAGAATCAGGAAGTGATTAGGGATCACAAAGTGAGGTCAAACATCTCAAAGGAACGGTACCAAAGGTCAATGTGTGATGTCATAAGGTCAATGTGTGTTGTCATAAGGTGGATATTACTTTGAACTCGTCAGCTGAGCTGTCTGAGAGTTTGTTAAAGTGAAATGAGACATTCAAAGATACAGCAGTGTCCTTCTTTTACATCCCTGAGACTACAGGGAGACACTGAGGACGACTATCTACGGTGAGGCTGAAGGGACAAAATAGCATGATTAAACAAATGTAATGCATTAATTTCAGACCTTAGTTAATAGAAATGTTCTAGTTAATGCTGACAGCCCTTATAAAAACTAATGAAAAATCCACAAGTATAATAACCTTGACCTTTCTAACACACATATCTGTACTTCTACTCGAGTAGCGCCCGTGTGAATATCTTTCTGACACTTCTGCAATAACCTTCCCTGTGAGCTCTCAGGAATGTGCCTTATCTCACCTCAGGCTCTTCACAATATGCTCCACATTGTTGGTGTGGATGTTGTGTCTTTCCAGCAGGCCGCTGTAGCTGGAGCCCTTCATGGCAAGCTGGAAAAAAAAAACCAGACACAGCAACACTGAAACATAACCAGAAAACTCTAAAAAGGTGAAGTTCAGTCTGATCCAGTGAAAGGAAGCCCTCACCAGCTGTCTCAGGTCGTCTTCAGAGAGTCCTGCATAGCGATACCTCTGCTGCTCGAACTCATATCGTGTGGTTTTTGTAACCACAGCCACCTTCTCAGGTTTGAATCCACCTGTTGGCAGTGATGAGTTGTTGCATATTGAGGTGTGCAGGGGGCGATGGTAGTTTCCATGCAGCAGGCTGACAGCTCGGCTCCCCAGGCTCACAAAGTTCACCACAGAGCGGCGACTCATTCTTACAAGTGAGCACACAACCATAAGAAATAAAATAATAAATCACATGTCCGGTGAAATCACAGACTCTCACCCAGCTGTCAGGGAAGGTCACCTGGTCCACAAAGCTCCTCTGTAACTGCTAAATGACCCGTGTATAACTTTTGCCTCACAGATATTTCCTCCGACAGCTGGCAGGTTATTAATCTATTTCTCTACAAAACTAAAAACTGAGTAGTTATCCCGCTAAACGCATTTTAAGGATACAGCCAAGCTTAACCTATAACTGCTACAAGTAGTTAGCAACTTGCTAACTAAACCCAAAGCTAACACTTCGCTTTATCGCAAATCCGGTCCGGATTTAATCTCCAGCACGAACTACGGCAACACCTCAGGTCCGCGAGAGTTTAAAATACCAGGTAACACACACGTGCGGGTTAAGAATAAACGACAACACATGAGAACCACAGGCGACGCAGCAGCACATAACCAGGCAGCCTGGCACGTACACAGACGTACGTTGCGTGGAGTCACTTCTGATTGGCTGCGTGACTGACGCTTTGTTTTGGCTGCCGGTGATGCGTTCACGGACAAACACAAACTCGGAGAAATCTGTAGGAAGTGTTCATTTAGAAATGAATAACAGAAAATAAGATTTGTAGCCTATTTTTTATTAAATGTTTCATGTTTATTTTTATAAGCTTCTATTATAGTCTGTGATCTTAGTCTTAAAATGGATAGACAATGAATATAAATAATACAATTTAACATAAGACTGTATATAATATGTATAAAATACAAATACTTAATTTTAGACTTGTTTGATACTGCTTTACTGCAGTTGTTCCCAAACTTTTTTAGCTTGGCCCCTATTTGGCAGATGAACATATTTCCAACTCCCCCAACTGAAAAAAGCAACCCCTTATATTTAAAAACAAAATGGAAAAAACAGGCGGAAGGTTTCTTTTCTGTTTATTTATTAGTAGTTATAATAAACAAAAATGAAGACAACCGTTCTCCACAACACATTGAATGAATTTCAGTCATGATCAGAGGCTTTAGCATGTATTAAATCCAGACATATTCACTCGTCTCAAATCTACATTACATGAGCAGAGTTGGTAAAAAAAATTCAGCAGCTAAAAAACACACACTTGAAATGTGAACATGCACACACACATGCGTTTGCAACTCTAGCGCCTGTACAGAAAAACATTAAAATGTCTGTTATATTCATATAGTTAACCGGCTAATGTTTGGACGATGGAGATGACGTTTGAATTCAAGTTGAGTTCATCATGTCCTGGTGAAAGATCTGACTGCATTAACTCTTCAGATAATATTCTTAGAGTTCCTCTTCAAAGCATCCATGACTGCAGCGCCTGATTGTGTCCAGCTGATAACTTTATGTTCTGCTTTGTGGCCTTTAAAGTCCAGATGTTTTAACACATGGCCCCTTCTAGAATTGCTTCACAAGTTTGTTTCAGATTTTTTTTGAGCTGCAAATCATGCAAAGCTACTCTAAAGGTTTCCCAGACTGACAACATGAAAGGTGAACATGAGGAGAAGATGGGAGCTTTAAATGCTGACTTCTGATTGAAACTTCCAGTCCTATTTGAAGATGCACATAATAAACTATTTCTTTTATATGGAGGTGAATGTGATAAATATCCTCTGGAACAATAAAGAAATGCTAACATATCAAAAGTGTGGAAAAAATGGCGGACAGCAACGATGTTGAGGGAGGAGGAACTACATGTGTGATTCAGTGTGAGCACGCTTGTCATTTTCAACATCGCTATCCTGAGAGATGAGCTTGTATGGTTTCTTCCTCTCCTTTTCCTCCAGCACCGAGTTTCCCATCTCCACGTCTTTGCTGCGAAGCTCGTGCCGAGACAGGAACTCCACGATACCAGCGCCGATCGAATCCCCCAAAACATTGGTGGTTGTGCGAAGACGGTCCCTGAATCCCAACAGATGAACAGAGAATAAATGTAAAATCATGCCTCGTAATCAGGTCACTCCAGCTGAAATTAAGGCACTATTTTCTTTTAGATTATATGTTTGCTGTTTTTCCTTTATCCCATAGGTCAGCTGGAGAGTGACAGGAAATGTGGGGACAGAGAGTGGGGCATGACCAGGATCAGGATGAGGGGTCAAACCTGCAACCAGATCAATGAGGACTGTAGACTCTGCACATGGGGTGCCTGCTTCACAAACTGAGGTAATCAGAACCTCATTCAGAGACTATTTGACACATTTGTGACCAACTTAAACTAAACTGTAGGGCTGCACTGTGATGCTGTGGTTAGCGCTGATGCCTCACATAGATAGAAAGTTCCTGATTCAAAACAGAAGGTGGGGAGGGTTCTTTCTGTGTGAAGTTTGCATTTTCTTCCCATGCACGTGTGGGTTCCCTCTGGAGACTCGGATTTCCTCCCACAGTCTACTGAACAAAAAGTCCAAAAAGTATTCTCTGAATATTTCCAGGGAATTTGAGACAGACTGCCCCTGGAAGTTGCTTTGGATTTAATGTCTGCTAAATGAATTTTGATGATGTGTTTTGGAGAATGTAAATTCTGAGCGTCAACAGGATAAATCCCCCCCCCATGGTGGTGGTGGTGAAGCTGATGACTTGTTGAGACCAGATGGGTGAAGAATTGATGGATGATGAATCTGCAAAGACGGGCAGTGTTGGGGAAGCGGAGGGGCTTGCAAAACATCGGCATGAAGGAACTAAAGGCAGAGAATGAATCGTATTTAAAAGGGGAGCAGAACGATGATAGGCTGACAATGAGGGGGGAACGCCATGCAAATGGTTAGATGAGTACCGCTGATGAGACAGCTGGTTATCCAATGACAGCCCCACACAATGACAAGACCCGATCATGAAGCTTCATTGGAGGAGCAAAACTCCAGCAAACAATCTCTTTGTTCCGAAATTGGAAAATTGTCTTTGACAGTGAAATGCTTAAAAAGTTCTGTAGTTTGAGGTCATTATTGAGACAGTAAGCAGTGTTTAACTACTAATGTGTACTTTATAAACCATTCCTCAGCTTTGTAACAAACATCCTTTTATCCATCGGGCTCGGTACTTTCTTCTCTTCAGTCGGCTTTGTGGCGTTCACAGACTTTCATATGTGGCCCATCCTAGTTGAAGGAGAGGAGGGTTTTTCTTATTACCCCAGTTAGCTGAGCAATTTCTGGGAAGGGTATTCTAATTGAAATGATTAATTTGGGAAACCTAATTATGTTTCTATGTTAAAACTCATTGCAGAAAATATTCAATAGAAAAGTGGAGATGTGGAGCGAGGCCTGGGGGAGCGAGGAGAAGTGTGTCACTAGGTGGTAGTAGACTCATAGCTGCTTCTGACCTTTAAGAGACGTGTGATACAGTCGAGCAGCTTCTGTTTATATGGATGTAATGATGTTCATGATACTCACAGGAACCAATCGACCGCAATGATGAGAGTGATGTCATCAGTAGGGAGTCCGACAGAGGTCAGAACGATCACCATGGTAACCAGGCCGGCTTGCGGGATGCCCGCAGCTCCGATGCTAGCTGCAGTCGCTGTGATGCTGGAGTGAAGAGAAAACATTATTTGCACTTTTCTCATCTACAACAGCATTAGCGTCAGATGATATCATTTGGTTTTTGTCCATTGTTACCTGATGGTGATGATCTGCCCAAAGTTCATCTCCATGTTGTTGACCTGGGCGATAAAGATGGCCGCCAGCGCCTCGTAGAGAGCTGTCCCGTCCATGTTGATGGTGGCACCGACAGGAAGTATAAAACGTGTGATCCTCTTGTCAATTTTGTTGTTTTCCTCCAGACATTTAAAGGTGACGGGCAGAGTGGCCGAGCTGAGAGAAGAAAGTATTAAAAAAAAGGTTACAAATAATGTTTGGCTGAAACCAGGTGTTTTGATTGGTCAGAAGTCATTCGATGGGTGCTGATAAAAAGTGACACAACACCAGGACTTTAAATTATATTAATCTCTCAGCTTTAGGTGTTCTGAAATCCATTCATTAACCAAACTGCAAACGATACTGGTCTTTTGTGATCAGGCAGGTACCTCAGAATTCCAATAGATCACTGTTATTTCACTGGTCACATCAATAAATCAAACTTAATAGTGTAGAATGAATTTACAGCTGTTTCCCCCCTGGCTATGGGAGCATGTGAACACTTCCTTATGCCCCCGTTCACTGGGAGCAACTCCACTTTGGACCTCATTAATGCCACATTTACCTCCGAGCAAATGATCCAATCACTGGGCTACACCTGGGCGAGCGCTCCTGAGCTGGTGGGAGGGGGTTTTGGTGCCTTGCTTAGGGGCACCTCTGCAGCACTCAGGAAGTGAACTGGCACCTCTCCAGCTACCAGACCAATTTCTGGACTTGATCCACAGCGGGACTTGAACCGACGACTCTCCAATTCCCAACCCAAGTCCCTACAGACTGAGCTACTGTCCTCCCTACTGCTCCCTCTGCCTCCCTGCTCTGGTGATCAGCTGATTTTGGGCGTTTACTCCTTAACTACTAATCCAATCAGATTCTGCCATTCTACCTCTCTCCATCAATCATCCTGCTGCTTTACCCACGTTTAGTAAGAGCATCCAGCACTGTAACATGATAGGCTATTTTTAAAATGGTGATCGGCATCATGGGTCAACTTTGATGACAGAATTTGACAAAACACTGAGAACACTAAAAGTGTAGAGCTTGACTCACCTTGACGAGGTCCCCAGGGCTGTGACGAGAGCTTGTAGGAGCCCAGCGATGAAGACGAAGGGGTTTTGCCGAGTGATAGCAAAATACAGAGTGGGCAGAATAACGAAGGCGTGGATGGATAAGCCGATGATAACCGTGATGGTGTACATTCCCAGCTGGCCTCCCATCTGAGTCAGATCATCCATCTCCACAATCTTTCCAGCAATCAGGAACAGGATACCAATCGGAGCGTACCTGAGAGGAGAACATGGAACAGTGGGTTATAGGTGGGACGGTTGCCTTTGTTCGACAGGTGACACCTCCACCTGTAAACCAAGTCTCACCACATGATGATGGCAACCAGGCGCATGATGGCTTCATTGAGGCTGTCGAAGAAGTCTCTGAGGAGCTGACCCTGCTCCTTCATGTTGCCAATTATCAGACCGAAGCACATGGAGAAGACCACCAGGCCGAGGGCGTTGACCCCGTTCACCTGACCCGGCACTGGGATCCGCTCCTCCCGGGTGATCTCCATGACCTCCTGGGTGCCGTTGGTGGAGTTGAAGAAGGTGTCGTTCACCGTCACCGTCACATGGACTACACGCTTTCCATATTTGGTTTTGAACTGGAGAGTGGGAGAATTAAAGGGTCGTCATGGCGAGAAGAGAGTGTCAAGTTTAATACTGTTCCAAAGCCGGAGGGACACTATTTTGTGTTCTTGGTAGAGAAGGATTAATATTTGGTTTCAGAAAGAGCCTGACACTTTTCTGGACATTTAGACAAAATGCAAATTGAATCAGATGTTGGA